TGACTGCAGTGTTTGCTGTGCCTGTGGTGTCACACTGCCACCAGGGCTGATTTCAGGCCCCCAGGTGGCGGCACTGACTCATAGTTGGGAAGGGATGCGTACGGGGGCTCTCCTGGACAGTCCCGAGGTGCCAGACGACTACCCCTAAATCCTCGTGGTGACGGGTCCAGCTGTGTTGTTCCTTCCCCACGAGGCCCAGCCTCGACTGCCCTCCTTCCCCCCTGCCCCGCCCCCCTCACAGACGCACCGCTGCAGGGTCTCATCTCCCCACGCTGGCCCCTTTCACTGTCTTAAGAATCAAACATCCTCTCGCTCTCCTCTGGCCCGGCCTCTGCTGCCCCTGCAGGTCAGCAAGACGACTTTCGTTTTACTTCCTGAAGACAGAGCCCCAAGGCCTCCCTTGCAAGTGGCTGTTTAAAAATACATTCCAGGCACTGTCAGAGGTGAAAACACAGGGAGGGGTTCTTTTGCTAATTTGGCCTATTTGGAAATCAAATAGATTGACAAGGGAATTTAAGGCCAACATCCCTGCTGTCCCCATACGGACTTACTTCTCTAGGAACGTGTTTAGGATCAACACTTAGTGGGTCGACGACGGAGGGTGGCACCACCCCAAGAGGTGTCAGGAAATGTGTAGGGGGGGATACTATGACGTTAGATGCTTGGGGGTCCTCGCTTTCTGTAAGGACGGGAAGTCCCTCCCACCCAAAATGCAGACAGCTCCCTGGTGAGAAAGACTGGGAAATACGGAGGAGAAAACGACATTGATAGGAAATTGGTGACAAGATGCTCCCCAGTATGCTACCCTCTTTCCCTTCCCCTCCCCATTGTGTATGGTTGTGAACAGTCTCTTCCTCCAGATGATTCGAGTTATAACTGCAAGTCAATCTATTTGTTGGCTTTCTCTGCAGGTGTTGCTGCTCCCGGCGGCAACCTACCACAAATCCTTGCCGATGTACTCTCCAGGGAGGTGACTGTGGCATCTTAGTCACTTTCAAGAACACGCTCAAGTACAGGTGTCCCCAAATCCCAGTCAGTTATTTATTTTGGGATTTATTTTAAAGAAAAAAGTATGTTTAGAAATGCTTGGCAGCCACCTCCTCCTTCTCTAGCTCATCAGGAAGCTGAGATCTAGAGTCATCTGAGGGAATGATTCGGGCGACCAACATGCCGGGCTCACTGAACATGGAGTGGAAGACTCTGCTAAGGGAACGGCCCCTGGTTACCCTACAGAAGGCGATCCGTGCTCGCCACAGAGGGGGTGAGCTCAGGCAGGGAAAGGACCGCCCCGGCTGGCGAGAATCAGCACCGAAACAGCCCTGAGCCCCCTGAGTGAGCTCTGAAAGCAGCTGTTTCTGTTTCCGGTCTGATCTGGGCCCTGCATGTTGCTTAACCTCGTGGAGTCCCAGTTTCCTGCAGGAACATGCCCATCTTGGGGATGCTGTAAAATTACAGGCCAAGCCACACATATGGAGGATCAAACGGTGGCTGTTACTGAAAAAGACTCTAAGGGTACTCCACCACAGTTGCCATTGTTGACACGCCAACATCTGCTCCCAGGGGCTGGGTCACAGAAGAAGACCCCACGGGGAAATCTCCATGTATCCCCAGGAAGTAGATGGTCTGCAGAATACCAACAGTGATGCTTACTGTGGCAAACACATGGTGCTTCCTATGTGCAGGCACTGTTCTAAGGGCATCATTTACATCCACCCATCCGAGCCTCATCACCCTCCTGTGAGATAGTACCCTACTCACCCCATTTGACAAATGGGGAAACTGAGTCACAGAGCTGTTAAGCAACTTGCTAGTTCACTCAGCTAGAAAATGGCAGAGCTGGGATTTGAACCCAGGTCGTCTGATTCCTGAGTCAGTGCTCTCAGCCATTACCCTATATTTTGTCTCTCAAAGCAAAGATGAGAGGGGAGACTTTTGGTGCATTCTGGGCTCTAAAAAAGAGGATGTCCTTTAATCACAGGCATTAAAACGACTCTTGTCTTGATCTCTCCTTAGAGAAAAATCACAGGATAATGGTAAAATATTAAATAAGATAATATTCCCTCTCCCATGTCCCTTTTAAAAATCTAGGCACCAAAAGACAAAGGTGCAAATCAGTGGAAGAAAATAAAGGAAAACCCACACTAGGGCTGTGCTAGAACTCACTCTGTGCCAAATTCACAATTCTCGACTGGAAAACAGCCGCCTTTCCCTGAGGCACAGGGAGCTGGCAGTAGCACCAGGCCAGCTTCTTTTTATTTATATTTCTAATTACAAAGTTAGTCTAAGCTCGCTGCAGAAAATATGGGAATCAGATTAAGGGAGAAAGAGCACCAACCCAGTCCACCCAATGCTGGCTATGGGTCGGGTGTGCCCCCTTTGCGGCTTTATTCTGGGCATTTATTCATTGTTTCAGATCTGTCAATGTAATGGACATCATGTTTGCACCCAGCATAGCAAATCTGTTCTTAAATAAAGGAAAAGACCCTTCCGAAGGGGGAGATGGGCAGGAAACAGCCTTGCCCAAGGGAAGGCCGGGTGCTCCGCCTGGGGAGGCCTTTGCCGGATGGGCAGCGAGGCGGGGACAGCGGCTCTGCAGTGGAGCTTCTATTAAAGGCGCAGCCTGCCCCGCCCCAGGTGCCACTGCTCTGTGGTGAGCGTTTCCGAGAGGGTGGACAGCACGCCAAGCCCAGGGAGAAGGTGGCAGGGCATTTCCAGGATGCCACACTGCGAGAGGCCCTGCTCCCGTGCTGGCTGGGCCCGCAGACACCGGGCAGGGACAGTGCTGCTGCTCAGGGCAGGATGGCGGCACTGGGGATGGTGGGCGGAAAGCTGTCTCTGTGGACCGGGACATGTGCAAATAGCTCAGCCAGCACGTCCGTACATCTGCAAGGCCTCAAGGCCAATAAAGTGTTTCCTCCTACCATGGACCACAGCAGAGACCAAATAATTCACAGCAACAATGCGTGCTCATCCAGGTGTGGAAAGGTGGATCTCATTTCAGTTTCTTTTCACTAACGAAGGATACTATAATGGGTAATGGATATAAAACAGCCCCTATATTGTGACACTTGGTCCATAAACCTATGCCTCTATACTCCAGTGCAGGGCTCCTACCATAACCCCGCAAAGGCCGGGGGTGCTGACCGGCCACCTGCAAGTCAGCGTGGCCTGGAGGTGTGTTTTGTTGGGCTGACATATCACCTCAAACAGAGTGAGCTTAAAGATGAGGCTTTCTGTGGAAGTTCATTATTGATTTGCTGACAATGACTGACCCTTTGGCGCCACCCTCCTCTCGTTTTGCTTGTAAACAAAAAGTTTCCCTTGTTTTTCTAGTCCAAATTCTTCTCACAAGGAGACAGCCCCTGGTGGTAGAGAGCAGGAGAACACGAAGCATACTGTTAACTTACTATTTCCCCTAAGAAAGTGTGAGTAAGGCTCGGGCAACTTTTCCAGCTTCATCTCTTTCTGGAATTTCGATGGAAGCCTGGCATCTGCTGGGAGAGCTCAGTCTTCACCAGCCGTCTGCCCAGGGCCTTTGTGGCCAGTTCACACACTGCACAGCACAAAGGTGTGAAAACGAGTTATCCTCCCACTTTAGCTCTCAGCGCTGGGAAGGAAATTATTTCAGCCTGCATGTCTCCTCCCGCACCGGGACCAGAGGACACCAGGGAAATTCAGAGTGTCAGCGGCTGTGAAAGTTACAACATTCCCACCCGTGCCTAGGCACTTGTCAGTGTATATGGCAGGACCTTTGTGGGATACGCTGAGCTTATTTTGGACAATACCGTTTCCATGAGCACTTAAATCGACTGAATTAGTTTTTAATTTCTCTAAGTTTTTTTGAAAAATTATTACATGATTATTATAAGAAATTTGAAAGAACAATAAAGTTTAAAGAAGAAAATGTTCATTACAATAGCGAAATTCAAAGACACCACTGTTAACATTTTCTTTCTGTGCATTTTTAAAAGATATACTACGGATTATAACGTGCACATAATTTGTTTTGTGCTTTGATGCCCCGGAACATCTTAAGCATTAAACTCCTGTTACTAAAACCTCTTCAAAAATAATTTAATGGCCAAAACCCATTGTATTCTATGGCGGTACGACAATCTTCTGGACATTACTGTTGGATATCTGATGTTTCCAATTTCATTATTGTATTATAAATAACACTGCAATGAACATCTTTGTTCATAAAACCTTTTCTCCCTACAATTTTTTTTTTTAAAGATTGGCACCTGAGCTAACAACTGTTGCCAATCTTTTCTTTTTTCTGCTATTTCTCCCCAACGCCGCCCCCCCCACCGTATATAGTTGTATATTTTAGTTGTGGTCCTTCTAGTTGTGGCATGTGGGACACCGCCTCAGCGTGGCCTGATGAGTAGCGCCATGTCCCCGCCCAGGATCCGAACCCTGGGTCCCAAGCGCAGCCCCAACGTAACCGCTCGGCCACGGGGCCGGCCCCTCCCCCCACGATTCTTTTGGATAGAGGCTCAGATACATAGAGTTCCCGGCTTAGAGAATTGGACTGTTTTGAAGTCTCTCCACACCCACTGCTGTGACGGGGGCTGGAAGGCACAGCTGCAGTTACTTATTTCTGTGATGTTTCGCTGAACCTCAGAGCAACGAGGTGGGATAAACCGGAGCGCACGTGGTGCGTGGGCGCGCCAGCCTTGAGAAGGCCGGGAGCAGAGAGCAGGCGTCTCACTTCCTCTCTCCTTTCCAGGGGGCAGTCGTCACCGAGAGGGCGGGAGGTCGGAAAGCAGGCACAGCGACTGCCAAGCGGCCAAAGACTTTCCAGTCCAAAGACAAGAAACAGGAGCAGGGCAGGTGCATTTATGCAAATTGTATGCAAATCACAGGGCGGGGACAGACGCCTTCTCAGACCCGCTGTGCGCCCAGAGCCTCACTTTATTTCTCATGTTTACAAGGGAAAAGACAGAATTTTTCACATAAAAACAGAGCCTTTCAGACCAATAAACAAAATTTCTCACCTTTCGGAGTCTTGCAAGGAGACCTGCTACATGTTCGTGCTGTTCCGATTTGGCAAGATCTTCCGCTGTCTTTCCATCCTGTTGGAGAAAAATAATTAGTTCTTTTCTTCCCAACAGAGAGCTGTGTGTTCCATACACCAGTTCCGTCATCTGAGGCAGAAGCAAGCCTAACAGGTGTCGGAAGAAAATGAGCTGGACAGAAAGAGCACACCCTGCACTCTCACTGTCTGGGGAACCTCTACTTTGTCTGACTGTCCAGGACAGCAGGGGAAGAAGCAGGAACCCAGCGTGACCTGGGGTCCCGCGAGGCACCGTGAGATGTCTCAGGCCCACAGGCATTGATCAGACTCGGCCCCTCGTTAGTGGGCAGAGGACTCTGTCCTGAGCCTCTGTCCAATCAGGCAGAAAACAAAGATGGTCATTAGATGCCAAAGTCTAGTCGGTGCAAGCTAGCATCTTAAAAGCCACCCAAGCACCAAGGTCAGCACGCATGGATGTCCATCATCAGTAAGTGCCGTGCATTTTGAGGAAAAGCCTGAGCTGTACAGACCACTTTGACCTACAGATTTTCAGCGAACATAAAAGGAGGAAATAAGGGTCCACAGCACTTCAGTGTTTGCTTTTTAATTAGGGAATGTTCATAGGGTGCCGTTTCATAATGAACGAATTCACGTCTGTCTCTAAGCCGTGAATACGCACGACCCTGGCTGACCCGGCCGAGCGCCTCTAACACCGCGAGCCTGACCCAGCTCTCAGCGCTCGGTGTGCAGTAACCTCGGTCACTCCTGGGTGGCCGGAACTCTGCCTGTTCACAGGCTGCGAGGAGGAAACGGAGGCTTAGGGGCTATTCTGCTGCAATCTTAGAAATCATTACAAATTTAAAAGTAGAAATATGGGAAGGAGTTTCCACATAAATAAAGGCGATATTCTTTAAATAAGAAGAACAAGAACCATTCCGGCCCATCTCTCAGTGTTTCTCACTAACAGTTTAGTTCCGTCCCGTGGGAGCTTAGGGATGCCCACAACCTGCTGCACAGCACACCTTCCAATTCCTCAACTCAAGCCACAGCCCGAGCCACGGCCGGGCCCAGGAGAGCAGCGTTCCTCAACCTCGGCGCCGCTGGCACTTTGGACGGGATAATCCTCTTTGTGGGGGCGTCCTGTGCACTCCAGGATGCTGAGCAGCATCCCTGTCCTCTGCCACTAGATGCAGTAGCATTCCCCCAGCTGTGACAACCCAGAGAGTCCCCAGACACTGCCAAGTGTTCCCTGGGGGTGAACTCGCCCCCGCTGAGAACCACGGCCTCAGGGGCTGGTCCGAGCTCAGCTAGGGGGAATCAGGGATCGCGTCAGCGGTTCCTGCCCAACTGCCAGATCCCGTCCTGATGTGGTAGGAACGGCCCCAGTGGCGCAGTTCTCAAGCCACCGCACACTGGAACCCCGGGGCCTCCCAGAGCTGCTGCTGCCTAGCTCCCTTCTGGACACTCCGCCCTCACCAGGCTGGGGTGCCACCTGGGCCTTGGGGTTCTGAGCACTCCTGGGAGACACTGTTATGCAGCAAAGAGGGGAAGCACTGTCCTCGCTGGATGGACCTGCAACCTCCACCAACACTTTCTGTCTCTGGCATGTCTGGCCGTCTCAGTTCCTTCCCTCGGAGATCCCGACCTGCACGTCGCACAGGCAGAGGAGGCACAGTGGCAGAGGCCGCTCACCGCCAGAAGGCCTCTTGAGGGACAGGAGAACCACCGTCAACAGTCCTTACATTGGCGCCGCACTCTACAATTTGCAGACATGTTGCTCTAAAGGACACTCTTCAGGCTTCCAAAGGAAGCGCCTGCCCGAGTGGTGGCAAGCCTGAAGTTTGGGGTTCAGGGACCCAGGTTAAGTCTGACTCTGCCCCGCACCAGTTCTACAGGTAGTCACTTGGCCTCTGCAGCCCGGGTTTCTTCATCTGCAAGATGGGAGACAAGCCCCTCACCACACAGGTTCTTGAGCAGAGTACAGAAAACCAAATGGAAGGAGCCAGCCAAGTGCTGGACACAGAAAAAGCAAGCAGCAGGGGCTTTCAATAAAGAGCTGAGAATCTCCCCAAACTCCCTGGCTTTCTGTCCAAGAGAGAAGTAGCAGCAACTGGGCCTTTCCATTCTGGCCTTGCTCAGTCACTGCGCCTGGCCCATGAGCAATGCTGACACTTACTGCCCTCCTTGTTACAAACAGCGGTCCGGGAAGGCCTGAGAAGGCCTGAGAAGGTGATATCTGAGCCAAAACCTAAAGAAAGTGAGAGAGTAAGCCATTTGCATACCTAGAGGAAGTTCTGCAAAGAACAGCAAGTGCAAAGGCCCTGAGGCAGCAGGATGACTCTCATGTTTGAAAAATATCACAGAAGCTCATGTAACTGGTGCAGGGGAAGCAAGAGATGGGGTCAGCGAGGTAATGAGAAGGCCAGATCTTTAGGGGAGCCCCCACCCTAAGGACTTTTACCCTGATGGAGGGTCTGAGCAGAGGAGGGACATGATCTGACTTTTGTTTGAACAGGGTCCTACAGGCTGCTGTGTGAGGCAAAGACAGTGGACCAGTGAGGAGACTATGACAAATTAAAGGAGATCACGGCCAAGAGCTCACAGCCTTGTGAGAAAATCAGCAGTCGATTCCAACAGAGCAAGGAAGTGGGCAAATCGTACCTGCTGAAGGGGGCTGGGAGGGGGGGACTTCCTGGGGCTCCAGTTGAGTAAGGAAAGATGAGGAGTTAGCGTCCCAGAATCTTCCTGCCACTAATGTCACCTGCTGCTGTGTGCCTGGTGCCTGCTCTTAGGCATTACAAGTCTCTCACTGTGAAGGCAGAGGGGTGTGTACATGTGCACACGTGCACAGGGAGTGTGTGCAGGGATGGAAGGGGTGGGAACTGAGGAGGTTCCCAAGGGAGAGCACAGCACGTGCCAGATGATGAGGGCCAATGAGCGAGGGGCACCGAGGACCTGCGAATAGCCCTGCTGGGTTGGGTGTAGCTAAGGGAGCGCACAGTAAAGGGTGAGGCTGGCAGTGGGCGGGGCCAGGTCATGCAGTCACATCCTGCAGGCCACAGAGCTCCAGAATGATCTGAAATCGGAGTGCTCTGTAGGTGGGCTCCTCCAGAACAATAAATGTGGTGCTGGGGTGGAACTGCCAGGAGGCCACGAGGCTACAGTCAAGGGACCCGTTCTGAGGCTGAGCTGGTCCTGGGGATGCACCCAGTGAGGTCCTTAGCCAGGTGGAGGCAGGCGGATGGAGCACTGGGAGTTCAAGAAGAATCTAGAACGTGGACACCAGTGTGATGCAGGGGAGGGGAGCTTCCCCGTTTCTGGACTGGGCAGCCAGACCCAGGCTGAAGCCCTGTGCAAAGGTCAGACAGCGAGAGAGAAGAGTAGACCTGGAGGAGGAGGACACCGTGTGTGCAGGCTGGGGCCTCCCAAAGGTGGTGTCCACCAGGCTGTGTCTCAGGGTGGTGTTCGGGGGCAAGCAGGGACCGGGGACCCGGACATGGGCCTGAGTCCAGGTGCAGCTGCAGCCCCAGAGGCTGGAGAGAGCAGCAGGGAGCAGATGGCAGGAGGGCAGCGGGCAGGCATGCAGGAGCAGGGCAAGAAGACCTGGAGCCCGAGGAGGTGGCAGAGCGGGAGGATGGGAGGAGGCAGGCAGAGAGTGCCGACAAAGGGTCAAGTCCAGGGAGGAAGACAGTAGAGAAAGGCAAGGAAGTGGCCACTGCCAACGTCAGAGCAGGGTCACACTGCAGGGAGAGGGCTACCTGGAACCAGCCTAGTGGCTTCCGGGGCAGCCTGGAAAGTTCTAGTTCTTGACCTCAGTGGGGCTACAGAGGTGTTTGTCTTGAAATAATTCACCAAGCTTTACTTCTGTTCCTGTGCTTTTTGAAAAAAATCTGTTTTACTTTATAATAAAACAGTTTTGAAGGAGAGAGCTACCAGGAGGAGCCTGGGACTCTGCCGAGAGGCACGTGGAGCGGAGGACGGGCTGTGGAGGTGAGGTGGCCAGGCCGCAGGCAAGGGCAAGGGGAGATGGACGCCCATGGCTGGCAGGTTGTCCTGGCTGGGAAGGGCTGGGAGGGCCTCAGCTGGGGCGCTGCAGGGCCCAGGGCTCCGGGAGGCCTGGAAGAAGCGCCAGGCTTGGCCGGGGCGCCAGCTCAGGGGGAAAGGCAGAGGCTGGCGCAGTGCCCAGTGAGGGGCAGCACTTGCCTCGTGGCTACTCAGCACTCGAGGTGTGGCTGAGGTGACGTGTTGTGGGTGTAAAAAACGGGGGATTTCAAAGACTTAGCACAAAGAATGGGAAGTGTCGCAATAATTGTACAATGCTGATCACAGGTTGAAATGAGAAAATTTTACATATTTTGTGCTAAATAAAATCTATTACTGAAATTAATATCCTCAGTTTTTTTCAGTTTTGGATGTGGCTTCTAGAAAACTCGGAATGACACAAGCAGCATGCACCACCTTTCTACTGGATGTGGCCTCGGCCCAGAGCGCAGGGGGCAGCTCCGAGACCGCAGCGTCCTCGTGCCCTCGGGCGGCCAGGCCCAGGCCACCCGCTGCTCCTCCTGGGCCGGCCTGCCACCCGCCACAGTCCGCTGTCCCTGCACCCCGCCAGGGCCCGCGGCCACCGGCTCGGCCTTCACACTGGGCACTGCCACTCCCCATTCGGGGCCTGGCAGCGAACTCTCGCTCTGTGACTGTGTTTACTGCCCTGACTGATGGTTCCCCCTCTCTCCCGTCAGCCTAGGAGTTTGCTGAGGGAGGGGCGCCACCTGTCTTGGCCCCTCGTGTTCCCTGGTCTGAGCAGTGCCTGGTGCACAGCCCGTGCTCAGTATCTGTAGAAGGAATGAACGAGTGAAGAAACGAGTGAGGCTCCGTGAGGTGGACTCGCAGGTACCAGGGAGGGGCAGTTACTACAGAGGAGGAGCGTCTGCAATGAGCTGGGAAGGGGGAGAGCAAGGAGGCACACCCAGGGCCTGCCAACGGGGAACCACGGCAGGAAGCAAGAAAATGGCTGTCGTGGGGAAGGACAAAGGGAGATGACGGGGGGCTCACAGTCCTGGGGTGGCCCCAAGGACCCCGCTGAGGCCAGAGGCCACACATTTTAAGGGCTCCAACCTGACTGCCAGGTTTGGCAGAAGCCAGTTGTTGGCATCTTCAAAGCCATCCTCAACAGTTTATTTTTTTCAAGGCAGTATCTGTGACAAAAAAATACTTTTCCTCATAAAAATGCATACAAATGCTCTATCGTGGAGTAACTAAACCGTGTACCAAGACAGGGTTGGGCAGGTTTTGGTAATAACTCATCAGTCCTGGAGGTCCATGCATGGCCGAGTATGGGTCTGTGATGGGCGAGGAGGTGCCCTAAGAAGGGACAGTCCCATGAGAACTGGTAATCAGTGGGTCTGCTGAAAAGCCCCACTTGGGACTGGTAATCACTGGGTCTGCCGAAAAGCCCCACTGGGGACACCGCAGAGAAGAGACCTACTATCCGTGGGGAGAGAAGGCCATCAAGGTGACATCAGTGCAGTCGGAGGCCGTGTCCTAGACCAGGCGTCAGCAAACACTTTCTGCAAAGGAGCAGACAGTAGATATTTGGGGCTCTGTTGCAAGTGCTCAGCTGTGCCCCTGCAGCATGAAAGCCGCCAGCCAATAAGTAAACATGGGCATGGCTACCGCCCGATAAAACTGCTGACACAATCAGGCAGCAGGCTGGGTCTGGCCCTCGGACCGCAGATTGCCGACCCCTCTGACTCTCCAAGAAACGAGGCTCTCCCACCAGCCTCAGAGTGCCGATTTGCCTAAAGTTTGCCGCCGTATTTTAAAACTCCAATGAATGTCCTCAGAGAAGCGCTTTATGTCAGCAAAGCCCTAGTGAGTTGCAGCAACGTCCCCGGAGAGCGCGGAGACTCAACCCCGTGGGCCCGAAACCAGTCACCACCGCAGTAAAACGGCCACCTCATCTGCACAGCTGACGTGTCCTCCCTGCGTGGTAGCTCGTGAAATGTGACTCAGAGGACCGCTCCTACAGGGAGGTACCAGGTCTGCAGCGGGGAGTGGGAAGCGAGGGGAACTGAAGAAATCTCACTTAAAGATACACTGCATGCCTAAGAACGCGGCCAGACGTTTTAAACGAGACAGCAGCTCTTGGCCCAGCGCTGGCGGCCACCGTCCCACCCGCCCCGTGCCCCCGCGCCCCGCTGCCGAGGGCAGCATGCAGGGGCGGAAAGCGCACGCGTGCCCTAAGCCAGGCACAGACAGCGTGCATCAAAAGCCAGCGGGAAACCACAGGTCTTCCTGGCAGCGTGGCCGAGTGAGATGGGGACGGCGCACTCCTGAGAGGTGGCCCGGGGTGCGGCTGCGTGTGCGGGGCCGCAGTGCAGATGCCCAAGCACCGCGCAGCCGGCCGGCTTCGCGCAGTGGCCAGGCAACCCCGTCCCTCCGCCCTTGAGGCCGGAGGCGTCTGAGTGGCTTTCTCCCGCCAGCAGGTTGCTCACCGAGGTCAGCGCCTCCACGTTGGCGCCCGTCAGACACAGGTAGCGGACCACGTCCAGAATCCCATTGTTGGCGGCCAGGTGCAGAGGCGTTCGTCCATACTGGAAGAGACAAAAAGACCCGAGAGGGTCCTTTGCGATTGCTGCGAGGATGACATCTGTGGCGTCTAAGCACTGTGTGAGGGGTCTAGGATCTGCCAGAGGGAAACGCGAGGTGCGGTCTCCCTTCTCGGGAAACCTGCTGTCTCCTGACGGAGGCAAGCCAAGCAGAGTGTTTTCAAGTATTTTTCAGTTAAAAGAGTAACTTCACAATAAAACTTCAAAGGATGAAAGAGTGGGAGGCCATCGTAAGATAACTAAATCAGGTCTCCTGCTGCACTGGTGGAAAGGAGACTTGAGTCAGGGCCCCAGGCCCAAGCTTCCAGAAAGATCTGCACGACAGTTCAAATTCAGACACAGCAAGGGAAGGGGAACGGAGGGACAGCCATGGAAGTCGCTCTAACGAGGTGAAATTCCAAGGCCATGCCCACCATTTTTCATGCCTGTGGTTCCCAAACTGTGCCAGGCACTTCGGGCAGGCAGGGAAGGCACGGCGTGCTGGGGAATATTCTGAACTTCTGACGGAACCAGCAGGTTCAGACGCCAGGTGAACCACTAGCTCCAGGCAGTTCTGTCTTATGTCAGACTGCACTGCCTTCCTCCAGCGGCAGCATATCCACCCAGCCAGGGTCTGGTTGTTGCCGTAAAAAGAAGGATCTTCAGAAAATCAGTGTGAATGGGAAATAAGCGGGGTGGTGTCTAATCTGAGTCCAAAGTTTGAGGAGCTGTGAGGTGCCCAACAAGCACACATCTCATTAGTATGCAATTGTGGTTATGTAAGAATGAAATAAAAATATTAGTTTTCTTTTGATTTATGTGGATCATCTATTCCAATAGCTACTAAGTTGTGAGGACATAAATACTTACTAAGTTGTTTGGGCCAAGCTACTTAATAAACAAAACTGTTAGGTATTTCTTTTGCCCTAGGGAAACTGTAAAAAAAATTACTGAGACACCATGGACACTGTGAACTGAGAAAGTCTGGGCATCTTTCCTTTATGCTGTCTATTTGCAAATACAGGTTTTTGTTATGAAGTTAACACATGCTCATTTAGAACATCCAAGCTACATAGACAGACATCTGGTAGAGAATGGAAGTTCTCCTCCCATCCTCCACCCCTCCCGACAAGTTCCCCTGCTCAGAACTAGCCCTACTTAACCCTCTGGTGCCTGTGCTCCAAGCTTTTATCTATGAGTCCATAAAAGGAGATAAATAATTTGAAAAGCCAAGAAATGATCATACTCCACATTCTGTTCTGTCACTTGCTTCATTCACCCAACAATAGAGCACAAATACCTTTCCATGTCTGTAACTACATCCATCACCTTCTTTCAGATACCTGGATGACATTCAACATACGGATGTACCATAATTCATTCAGCCAGCCTGCTGAGGATGGATACTTAAGGTGGTTCCAATTCTTTGCTATTATGAATAATGCTGCAATGTGTGTCCATATTTATGTTTTGTTTACTCTTATCTTCTAGAGTGATTTGGAAAGTAGATATTAAGCTTTCAAATACTGTCCAGTTAAAGTGAGAAGGAAAAGAGAAGTTCTGGAAGATTTGGATGAAATGTTTGGGTCCATGTGTAAGGAAGATAACCTTAGCTTAGGATGTATAGTTTCATAGGAGGGAAGAGGACCATGAGGAGCAGAGTGCTGAAGAAAGGGGACTAGGAAGTTTACACTTTTGAAGGGCCCCTCCCCTCCTTTTTTTTGCTGAGGAAGATTTGCCCTGAGCTAACATCCATCGCCAATCCTTCTCTTTTTTTGCTTGAAGAAGACCAGCCCTGAGCTAACACCTGTGCCAGTCTTCCTCCGTTTTGTGTGTGGGATGCCACCACAGCATGGCTAGTGAGGGGAGGAGGTCTGCGCCTGGGATCTGAACCCATGAACCTAGGCCACCAATGCGGAGTGCGTGGAACTTTAACCACTGGGCCACAGTGCAATGGAAGCCCCCATTTTTGATGGAACAAACCCCAAACTCCTGAGCATTAGATTGAAGGTCTTTTACCATCTGGACCCAACGTTCCTCTCCAGGGGTATTTCCTCTCTTGCCCCAGTCTCTCCCTCCCTAAACACCTACCCACGTGCCAGCTACAGACAGTCAACAGCCCCCAAACACACACGTCCACCTCCCTCGTCTGAAACAGGCTTTCCCCTCTTCTTTATCTGTCAGAGTCCACATGTACCACTGTAAATGATCGCCTCAGCAAAGCCTTCCCGGGTTTCTCTAATGTCCAAGTGTCTGTGTTTCCTTAGGACCCATGCCTCTGCTATGCAGTGACCACAGCATGAGATGGTTTTATATATTGGGATGTCTGTGTGTCTGTCTAGAAGCAGCCTGAGGGCAAGAACCATTGACTCTGCTATCCACAAGCTCCCCTCTCCCCATGCATGGCACAGTCCCATCAGAGAAGGGCATCAGGAAACGCAGACGGCCACGGAATTCTCTCTTAGGTTCCTGGATGTGTGTGTGCATGTGTATGCATCTCTGAGTATGTGTGTACACAAAGGGTTAAGGCCATGTGTCTGCGCCCTCTATTTCCTCCCCTCCCGTGCATTCTCTAACGCATCAGGAGAGTTAAATAGCCACTCTCCTGATTTTCCTATGAGAAGAATGAAGACTGAGAAATGTCTGTTTCACTGCAATGAGTGTCAAGGAGAGTGACAAGTTCTGTCACATAATGATGACGGGTAGGATCCGAATGGACATATTTATCGCTGGGGGAACTTAATCCAGGTAAGGAAGAGGCAGGACACACCACGGGAAAAGAGTGACAGTCTGCCTGTGGGACGTGGGCTGTCACTGTGCCACATCCACGCTGACAGCCAGTTACTAGGGTGGGTCCATAAAGCTGTGCTTTCTGGGGAAATGATGTCTTCCTCTTATTTTTCTGCACATCTTTTAAGCTCCTCTAAAGGCCTCCTCATCTTTCCTAAAATAAAAAAACAGAGAAAGGAACAGAACAACAAAACTGACACTGAGCCCCCTGAAGAAGGCGTGCAGCCTGCGAGGGTGCGGTGTGGTGAGCTCTGTGCACTGGAGGCGAGCTGGGGGCCCGCTGCTCCGGGGGACTCTCAGCACTGGCCTCAACTTGGCTGCTGATGCAATAGGCTGAAATTGTGGCACTAATGCGTTTCGCGTCAGCTGAGCTTAACTCACTGACAGACTCATCCACTGGATGCCTCCATGTGTGCTGCAGGGCTTCAGGTGGTCAAAACCCAATCTGTGTCGGCACGTGTGAACTCCCACGGCCATCCGCAGTATCGGAGGCAGAGCTTTCCCATTAATAAGCCAGTTGTTTTTAAACACGAGATCAAGGATTATCTTGTGGCTATTTTAAAGAGCACATTTAACAAGTGCACCCTTTGCATTTAGGCGTGAGGTGAACACCTGTTCCCTTCTTTAGCTCAGTGCAAAGCAGCACGAGACGCAGGAGACAGCTAATCCCAGATGCTGCACACACAGTAGGCCAGCTGTGCGCACAATGGCCAAGTCTGAAGGTATTCAAATGAGGACCACGATGTTCCTTGAAGCCGCTTTGTATTCACTTAGATTCCTGGAAGGAAAGCCAAGGTCTTGATGCTGCTTAATATCACATTTGGCTCTCCCCTTAAGCCACTTACGTAATTCACTTGGCAAGATTAGAATGGGATAAACTAAGAAAGCAAGCAGCAGCTAACGGCTAAGACCTAGGGTAGTGCCTTTTCATATTTCCAGAACGTGAAGATTACCCATTTCAATTTCCATTAGAATTAATCACATAATATGTAAGAAGAATAATTTTTTTAGAAGTAGAATTTTTCAGCTGCTTCAGATATTAATTCTTTTATCTTAAACAAATCCTAACAAAATTCTGCTGTCATCATGTCTGCCACTTATAAACACACATTTCCCGCAATTAAGAGTTAATTCTACTTGGACTTTGTTTTAAACACAATCATAACAGAACAGTGCTTGCCTTTTATGCAGCTACAGGGCTGAAACCACATGACTAGCTAACCTTATATGGTAATGAAAATCCACATTATTCAGGGGGAAGGGAAGGTGTTCTAGAAGTCAACATAATGGGATTTTTATTTTTAATCAACCTAGGAGCATGTAATTATTTCTTTTCATTTCTTTGTTATTCACCAAATTATAGCATCCCCTTGTCTCACCAAATTTATTTAGCTAAAAAAGATGTTATGAACTTTTGGCCATAAAACTCTCATGTGGGAAGCTAAGGAGAGAAATCTGGCCCCAGGAATCCCAGTGACATCACAGCCCGTTAGGTGTTCTCCTGAAGGCCTGGTGCTCAGAGAGATGCCCCAACTGCACCACGTTCTCTGACTCCTTCCAGGAGGACCCGGATACCCTCTTTTTCTCTCTCTCTGGATGGCCAGAAGTGGTGAGCCAGGCTAGGCAGGAGTGCTGGTTAATTATCTGTTATTCTAGGAAATTATTCAAAAGTATTATGTAAAATATGACTTAAAAGGAGCACCCTATAAAAAAGAACAGGTCCATATGAGCAGTACCGACTTGGAACAATGAAGAGATGCAAAGAGAACCTTGGCTAAAACCCAGAAGTGGGTTGACGGACAGACGCTGCCGGACCCTGCAGGGGTCCCCTCTCCGGCTGTACCTTGTTTGCGATGTCCAGATTGCAGTTTGCCTCACAGAGGGCCACCACAATAGGCACGTTGCCATCTTTGCAGGCCACGTGGAGAGGGGTGTTGCCATGCCTGTCTTGGAAATCCACAGAACATCCCTGGCTGATGAGTGTCTGGATGACCTCCGTCTGACAGCGTCTTACAGCAAGATGAAGAGCAATGTGTCCATCCTGCAACACACACAGGGGCCATGAGCACCCGCGCTCAGGCACACGGGCCTGGCCACTCGCCTTTCTAGCCGCCATCGGGCCAGGTTTAATTGGCAACGCGATCACTATTGCAAAGCCTGAAGGAGGATTAAAAACCACCAACTTTACTCCTGGGGGGTGTGGGAGAGGCTTCCTACATCCCACTCTGAATAATTAGAGGCTAAGCTGGCCACCAGCTTGATTATTCTAGGTGTGGCCAGGACAATCAGATAGAAAGACTACTCTTTCTTTTTGTCTCTGAATTTATAGGATTGAAGTAATTGTTGGTACTCCAATGACCTGTTTTATCAAGTATTTGAAAAATACTTTTAAAAACATTCGCTTAGCAATCTTTATCAACTTCCTAAGTAGAAAGCCTATTATTTTAATCTACACCAGAAGAAACTGAGAAAATGAGGTGAAGCCATTTGCTCAAGGGCTGTCACCTCTATGAGAGGTACATATGTACGCTGAACCTCTGCACCCACTGAAGACCAGCCTGGGCGTGCCTTCTAGCCGTTCTAGAACATTCTATCCCTGGTGAACAGAGGTGCTGCGTTCCAGGAGAGTTTGGAGACATTTCTACAATTTCTCTGCTCTGGGCTTTCTCAGCCTCGGCACGACTGCCATTTCGGGCCTGTCGTCCCAGCTGCAGTGTGCAGTATGCAAGCAGCTCCACTGGTCTTCATCCACGAGATGCCAGTAGTAACGCCCACTCCTGGCACGCCGACCAAAAAATGTCTCCAGCTATTACCAAATGTCCCCCGGGGGCAAGGGCGCCCCCAGCTGGGAGCCACTTTTCTGTACCAAGAAAATACTCCACAACTGGCAGTTACTAAATTAACTGGTGTCAAATCTAACTGTGTATAGCAACATCCCAGCCTCATTTTAAGTACAAGTTCACAATAAAAACAGATTATTCTGAATTTGCTTAATTAAAAAAGGAACACCTGTTCTAGAATCGAGACTGCCAGACAAATAAGAGTGGTTTATTGTCTTTCTACAAAATAGCAGGTGTGGAAGTAAATAAACCACCTATTTCTTTGTTTATCTACAAATTAAGAGTGCCTTGCCAGTTTTCGTCCTAAATGAGGACGGCCTTGGCCCCGTGACCAACACTGCACCTGCTCCAAAGATAAAAAGGCTGAAAATAAAAGAGACCAGAGTCATCCAGCCAATTCCTAAATTCTGTTATGTGCCACAAACGAATATCAATTCTTACAGAATCTAGAAAAGTTCACAGGATCTTTGCTGCATTCCAGTTTGGTTTTTAGGGAATGACTGAGGAGTCTTGCGGTCCCTCCAGCCCCCAGGTCACTGCTCGGCGAGTGTGACCCATTCACCACAGCACCTTGTCAGAGGCATTCAGGTCGGCTCCGTGCTCGGCCAGACACTCCACGATGTCGTGGTAGCCCCTGGCGGAGGCCGTCAGGAGGGGCGTCTCTCCTTCTCGGTTCTTAACATTCACATTGCAGCCAGCCTCGCAAAGGGCTCTGGCCACAGAGTGGTAGCCATGCCAGGCCGCACAGTGCAGGGGGCTTTCTTCCTCCTGGGCAGGGAGACAAGCGCAGACAGGAGAAGGTGATAATTTGAAAGAAAGCAGAGGCCCGGTGAGGCTCCAGCTGAATTCGGCAGCAAAGTCAAGGTGGCAGAAAGAGCTCATGGCTATTGGGGCAAAAACGGACACGGGTCTGAGGTCTCTCCTGCACTAGTTCGCTTTCCTCAACGCCTTGAGTTGGACGAATTTGGCTTTCTCAGCACTTTACTGACAACCGACTTTAGGGGGCCCGCAGGGCCACGGGCTCAGCTCTTCTGAAGGAGAGCCCCCGCCTGGGCGGCTGACAGCACCATCTGTAAAGGGCCTTCGTTTGCCTCACCTGAGACTGCTGACAGCAGGAGAGCACGGCCCTGCACAAGAATCCCTTCGACAACCTCGAGGCCTCACGCTTCCGCCACGCACACGACGTAAGATGAGCCACATAACGTACTGTTGCTGTGGCCAGGGAGCAACCGAGACAACCACGCTTTACCAGGTCGAGGAATGGGCCGGCCACGAGGCCTGTGGGACTGGAAGGCCTAGTGCTCAGTGAGCGACACCATCAGATGCACACATCTGTCTGCGAGAGGCCGTTAGAGTGCAGCGGTCACGAACATGGACTCTGGAACCAGACTGTGTGGGTCTGCCCCTGGCTCCACCACTTACGAGCTGTGTGAGCTTGGACAAGTTACTGAACCTTTCTCTGCCTCAGTTTCCTCATCAGCAGAATGACAGTAACCGTGACTCACCTCGTAGGGTTGTCCAGAGGACTGAGTGAATGAATGAAGGTTGGAGAGTGCTTCTGTTTGAGTCCCTGCCCACCGCAATCTAAGCAGAAACTTGGATAAAACTCCAAAGGACCAGGCTGTATCACTTGGCTGCCTGCACGTCCGTGCAGAGCAGAAGGAGGGGAGCACATCGGCTACCAGGACCCACCTTGTCCTGGAAATCGGGGTTAGAGCCGAAGCTGCACAGTAACTGAACCACGTCGGCGTGGCCATAGCGAGCTGCCACGTGAAGGGCCGTCTCTCCAGACTGCAAAAGAAACAGCCAGAGGGTCAGCGCGCCCAGGACCAGAGGCCAGGCACGCCTGGCTCCACGTCCTCCCCTTTGGGGTGCCCGCCCCCAGGGGCCAGAGGCCCTTTGGTGATGGGTCAGGCACCTGGGGGCGAGTGACCATCATACAGCTAGTGTTAAACCCACACCGCTGGCCCATGCTGTTTGTCATAAAGCTCCCCAAACGAGAAGAATGCTTTCCTTTCTCTGTGACGGCTGCTCTCAATCTTCTTTACAAAATGATGCTTTTCACTGTGATTTTTTTTAAAAACACAAAATTCCCTCTTAATACGAAGTGCATCACATAGCAGTTATTTATTAACAAGTTTCTGATTTCACTGTCTACGTGTAGAATCTTGTTTCTTATGTTCTCAGAGATACTTAAAACCATCACTATCAGCCCATGCAATAACTTGCTGTGAATTAGTAATAGCTGCAACTTCCTTAAGGCATTTTACTTATATCTGCCAAAAAGTCATCAGAATAAACTGATTTAAAAAAATAAACAAGATACTTTATTGCCAACTGATAGAAAACTGCCATAATACATATGTGTCTTTGTTGCGAATGTCATTCTTAGATATGGTGCAGTGCACAATCCATACAACTGTATGTGGCAGCCCTGACTGAACATGACAAATTAGTCTACAAGCATGAGAAGCAGAGAAGGGTTGTAGTACAGTAGACTACAGAATGGATGAAAAGTAGGAATCCTAGGCGCAGCTTCCAGCATTGACAGCTCACAGGACTGTTGTGTAGACTGCATGAAACACGTATATATGAAAGTAAGGTATCTTGCTAAATCCATAATTTTTATAACATCTTTGCCCAAAAAGCCTTACTTTCAGTGCATTGTCTCATTAATCTTTCTAGCGTCGGCATTGTCAGCCACTTCAAAGATGAAGACAATGGTCAAGAGTTGTGCTTAGAAGCATATGTTGAGTCAATAAGAGGATCAGGACTCAGATCTCTCTCTGATTGTCTTTCTAGTAGAGCTCTGAGTTTTGATGTCATGGAGAAAGGAATTCACTGCTTGCATGTTATGGCGACTACCTGGCAGATTTCAGCAAAAGGCAAATTTTAATACTAGACCAAGCCACCAGCAAAAAGAAACTTCTAAATTAAACTCTCTGCAGGAAGATTTTGGTCCTGAACCCTTGTTCTTCGGGTCCTGGTGCACACAGCACGCCAGAGCTCAAATGCATCCTTTCATTACTCCTTCCTGTCCCTAAGAAGAGAAGTGGCCTTACCTTGTCTTTAACATCCAACGGGCATTTGTTCTCAATGAGAAATTTCAAGGTGTCCACGTGGCCATGCCGTGAGGCCCAGTAGACGGCATTGGATCCGCCCTGTAGAAAACCAACATGGAGTCACATTCCCAGGGCGCCGAGGGATCTGAGGGCTCAATGGCTCACACTCACTCACTTCCCTTCCCACGAGGCTGCAGGCTCCAGAGGAGCAACTTTCAACAGCAAGAAAACTCCCATTTCACTTTTCAGTTGGGACAAAGGGGCTGAGGCCAGGGAGACCTTAACGTTGCGGGAAGCTGCGTGAAGGGGCTAGGGACCTCTCCGTACTATCTTTGCAGATTTTTTTGATAAGTCTAGAATTACTTCAAAACAAAAAGTTGTTCTTCTTTTCTGAAAACTCTCCTCTGGCCTCTGGTTGGAATTCGCTCTACTGTCAAGGGCCACAGCCAGTCGCCCCCAGCTCTGTGGAAGTGCTGTGGACACTGAGGGCGGAGCCACCGAAATGACTGTGTCCTCCTTACTCTGTTGCCCTGTAAACCTGCCAGCAAATACATTTCTGATGAGGCTAATTAGATAATAAAAGCTTTTCCAAATGTGACATCTAATAACACTGTGGAGTAAGTGTCATCAGCAAGGAGCAAATCGGGGTGTTTCACAAAGAAACGCTGACGTCGAGCAACCAGAGCCGAGAAGGAGACACGCTCGCCTCCTTGTCCACGACCTGCGTTGGACTGGACCAGGCTGCGTGAGCAGTTCACCTTCCTTTATAGGAAACTCAGAAATGAAGGAGGGCATACATGTTATTTTTCTCTGTTACTTCTATGATTAGGAGACATCTGGAAATACTTAAAACATTAATTCATTTGCAATAAAACAGAATTATGACCTTATCCTGGACATCAATTCTTGAGCCTCTTTTAATGAGCAACTGTAGTATTTGAATATTCCCACAGCCAGCAGCAATAAGTAACGGAGGTGTCCCATGCTGGAAAAGGAGAGAAAAAAATACTATTTTTCAGGTTTGGTAGGAAAGAAAAAGCCCAGCCGTCACTGCTGCCCCACACCTTCCCGTCTCAGCAGCACACACCTACTGCTGCGGGACAGGAACGGGGCGGTTAGAAGACCACAGCCGCCCTTCCGCTCTGGATTCACAATCAAAGGCGACATTTCCATTTGCAGGATAAGCACACTCAGAATTTCACAGGTAAAGGAGCAATCGGTGCATGCAGAAAGGCCCTCAATGCAATAAGGCCTTATTTCTGACTCAATCCACGCTTTAAACAGAAGTGACTTTTTCCACAGTATGGAGTTTGCAACAGGAAGGGAGAAGGAAGAAGCAGATGGGGTCTTTCCACTTTAAACTTGGAGGCACACGGTCTCCCTGAACAACCCCTCCACTCCCCCTGGCAGGACAGCATCTGACCTTGTTGGGTTGGTTAACATCGTAGTTGGACAATGAGCCCAGGAGGTGCTGCAGGCCTGGGACGTTGTCGTCGTTGATGGCGTGGATGATGGCTTTCATCACAAAGGAGTCTTCCTCATCCTCGAGAGACACAGCGAAGAGGGAAAAAGAGTGAGCTTGCCAGCCACCATCCTCTCATCAACATAAGAGAAATTCAGGCTCATTTGTTAAAAGGAGCATTCAGAGCAAAGCAAGCCATTTAATGCCAAAATCCACGTGGTGATGAAGGGAAGCAGGAGGTTAGTTTTGCCCCTGCCGTGTTGGAAACTAGCACCATGTACTATTTACCTGTGCCTCATGTCACCTGCATCATAACCCAGAGAGCGAACAGCTTTCAAGATTCAGATTTAGAACAATGATTGATGACAAACTACCCTTTGTGTTTATCTTAGGAATCTTTCAACATGTAGGCCCAGAAATGATGGGTGAGTATAATTCAGATTCTAAAAACCATAAAACCAAGGAAATGATACCTTTGAATAAGATAGTCTTAATTTGTAATTTTCCCAATTACAGAAGTGTCATTTTCTGATCACTGGAAAATCTTCCTTCTCTAGGTACAGAATAACGTGGCAAAACTCACTGAAAGTTGGTCACAATTATTAAAAAGTAATTGGCCCTTAAAGGGAAGAAATATAAAAATAAAGGCCAGAAAAAAGAAAACAGATACATTTCTAATTACAAAGGGAAAATAACCAGAGAATGTTGAACAAGTTTGTTAAATCTTTGCTACTTTGTCAAAGTTTTCTCATAATAAGAAATTCGCAAAATATGGTACATTAAAACCAAGGAATAAGCTAGAAAATCCCAAACAAAATTTCTGCACTTATAGAGGCCACTAAAATTTCGCATCTGGAAAAGTATATCTCCAGAGGCTTGGTCTCCGCCTGTGGGCGGAATGGAGGAAGCCGCTCTCTGAACTCTGCTCTCTCTTCTCTCAGACCCGAGTCCAAGCACACTTCGTGAGGGCTTTAAGGATATCTGTATAGAGGACACGTTTAAGAACGGCACTGGTTTTGCTTTTGTATCACAATCCAAGTTGATGAATAAGAGACATTTTCCTGAAAGCGACAGGAGAAATGCAATAAAGTGTGGTCACGACCAGCAGGATGCTGGGGTGGGAGAGAACCTGAGGTCTGCGAGGGGTCTTCCTACCCGGAGCTCCCACACAACCCTGGGCCCTCTCCTACCCTAAACTTTCCATTGTGACCCATCTATTTTCTCCATCTGATGATTCGGGATGATTTTAATTTATAATATTTAATCATTCCCATTACTTTACTTAGATTAACTGTTTTTACCTTGTCCCCGATCCCACTGCCACCTTCAAACAGTTCCCAAACCCAGCCTCCCCCCCTTCTGCTCCCTTCTCCTCCTGACTTGCTTCTCTCACACTTCTTTCCTCTTTTTAACATCTCCTCTTTTGACTCTACAAGGCTGGGCCTGGAGCCTCAGTGAAACCACTGGCTTTGGGGAGGAAAGACAGGGCAGGGCGGGTGTCTGATGGGCGATCCCGTGCCGGAGCCCAGCCTCCACTCAGGAAGCTGACCTTCAGCTGCAGCCATGGAGCAGGCTGGGGCCCACAGACCACCGCTCCCACCTTTTCTGGAGCTCTTGCCTCCAGGGTTACAAAGCCCTGCTGCCTGACTCAGGGGAGAGTCTCGTGAATTCAGATGGGCCAGTCAGACCTGAAGGGTTACCTTGACATTAGGTTTCAGTTTGGATTAGGGGAGAGAAATCATGGAGTGGTTCCCAAGGATCTTGGGCAGTCCATACAAAGCCAACACAGCAGGTGGGTAAGTGGGTTTAGCCTCCTGGTCTACCATGAACTCCACCCCAAGCCCCACTGCACTTCCCCTGACTTCAGGCCTTCTCAGTTGTTGAAGCAATTGAACAACTTAAGCTTCTAAATACACAGTGCTGAGCAGGAGCCTCACCAGGGCACACAGGCATGCTTACCAGGGTATCGTCACTTCTGGCAACACTCATGTTACTTCTGGACAAGAACGACCTGGACAATCTTTGGCACAGTGATATCAAGCGAACGGATTGCTTTAAAAAAAAGAGAGGAGAAAAGGGCAGGGGGAGGAGGAGAGAGATCTGAGGTAACAATACTCAAGTCCGTGCACCTCACAGTCACTGCGACGGCGCTCACGGCTGGCAGCACGCAGGGGCGGGTGACGCCACAAGTGCATTTGCTTAAAGAATGCTTCTCACGGTCTCGTGAATCAAGACAACAGGACAGAGAGCAGCCTCCTGAAGTTCATCATTAAATTGCAGGACCGCACCCCCTGCCTCCCTTCTCTCAGCATCTCGTTCTCTGCTCCAGGAACGGGATCTGACCTAACAGCCCCACGCGTGCCCCTGCAGAGAAGCCGTATGCAGGCGCCTTGCCCTGTGTCCTGGGTGCCCAGACAAGCTGGCAATGGTGGATAACGTGACTATCAAACCCCATACAGTGGCTGGGAATGACCCGGTGGGGACTCCTCAGACTACAGGACAAACAGCCCTCCACTTACTCTCAAAGTAGACGTACAGGTAAAGAACGTGTGTGTGTGTCTGTGTGTGAGGGGGACTGACGGTGGTTCACTCTACATTTAAAGCCTTCTTCTAAGGGCTTCCCTGAGACTGACAGTTAAACCTTAAGTAACCCAGTGCTGCGGTCCCCCTCATCCCTATCGTGCCGCCCCCAACTCCATGTGTGCAAGAACACGGCGCATTTCCCGTCCGCTGCTGGGTAGACACGGCAGGGCCCTGCTTCCTCTGGGCTGGACGTGACTCTGTGCTCGGGAAGCCATCCTGTCACCTGCCTAACCCTGAGTTTTGATTTGTTCGGGGATGGCTGGAATGCCCTTTAGAGCCACATCCCCCACAGAGGCCGTCCACACCGAAAAAGTGCAAGAGACCACACTGCAAATGCTCACCCCCCCCCACCGCCCCCCCCCACAGACCAAGGCTGGATTCAGACAACCATCCACACGAGTTCCGGTAGGAACAGAATACCATGCTGCTTACCACAAAGAAGACATTTATTTAAAGTGGGGCTTGCTGAATTTAGAAAAAGACTCCACTAGAATTTTCTGTGCTGATTTAAAAATTTGCCTTGGGAATGGTTTTGATTTTAAAAAATGCAAAATTACATGTGAAGATACAAGTTAAAGAGGACTGATACTATTTTTGCTTATCTTTGAAAATAAGGTAATAGGGCAGAAGACTACAGAGTAAATTAAACAAAAAAGAAAAGGATGCACTTTTGTACCAACAGTATCAGAAGAGATGAGCCCTGACACGGGGAGCCTGACAGAGGAAACAGAGTTAGTGACTCTCTCCTTAGCAAACAATCTTACTTTCCATTTTTTCCGGGCTGCGAACTTCTTGAATTTCTCCATGTTTACGGCCGAGGCTTTTCTACTAAGTGCTTGTTGGGTATCTTTAGGCTACAAGGAAAGTCCAAGAAAGAAATTTAGAGCTCTCAGATTGTGGAACTGTGGTACCCGACAACTTTGCGAAACCTCTCATTCTTCAGGATGCTCACACATTCACCTCCCTAAACAACCACACAAGTTGGAATAATATGCAACACCCAGGAACCTGGTCTCGGGAGGCTAACTTCTGTGCCTAAGGGTGTGATACAATCCACAAAGACGGGATCTTGGGGAAAAGTGCAAAAGTTGAGCTTGGATCAAGCTGAATTACAACTTTCCACAAGTGAGTTTGGGAATGGCCAGATTCACGGTGAGGCCATCCATGTTGAGGCATCTGAACTCAAGGTCATCAAGTAGGGACCCCAGAGGTCAACAAATACGGCCTACCCTACAGCATTGGAATCCCTTCTACTGCATCTTTTTCAGAAGCCATTTAGCTCCACTGCCGAGAGACGGAGACCCCACTGCGTTCTGGGGGGCCCAGGAACTGCTGGGAGCTCGCGCAGACAAACAGTTCTCCAGTTGCCCCAAACCTACTTCTGTAATGCAAGTTACTGCATCGCAATCTGCTTACAGCTTCCATGATTTTATTCTGTAACTGCCATATTCCCCACCCTTAGTCCTTTCTGCTCCAGCTGAAGCAACTTCAGTTCTGGAACCCAAATGCTGACAGGCGTCAGGTAGGTAACATCAAGGTGTAACATGTCAGCGGGTGGCCACAGGCCCGGGCACAAAGGCAGCTGTGCCGAGCTGCTGGTGACCTTGTGGGATGAGTGCTCAGTGTTGGTGGATCTTCACATTTTTCAAGAGAAGCTGGAAATCCAGATTTGATATGATATCTAATGCTAGGAATTAATTAAAAAATTTTAAAAAATATTGTCTGGGCCAACATCCCACAGGTCAAACCAAAATTAGCTGTTGAGTGGACTTAACCTTCAGCTCTGTGTTTACAATCCTGCGTTCTGATAGCTTACTCCTCTCCACCTCTGGTATCATTAGGATACGCTCATCTCCAGTGGTCTTAAAATACGGCACAGCAGCAAACACAACACTCCAGGTGCGACCTGTGGTTAGGACCCATGGTAACTGGTCGTGCCCTAGGACAAATGAGCCAGGATGCCCTGTAACACCCAAACCCACCACAACGGGCCACTTACCTTGATCCAGGGGTGCTGCAGACTATCTTGAATCGTCATTCTCTTCCTTTGTGGGGGAGGGGAAAGAAAAAAAATGCTGTGACCAGAGAAGCAAACACGAAGGCTGTCCGCGTGCGGCCAGGCCTGCCAAGCAGACACGCCTGAGAATGCAGACTGGGGCCCGCCCCACGGAAGGAAGCCCAAAGCAAGGTCAGTCTCTGTGCGACCATTGCACTGCGCCCGCAGGGACCGACTGAGCAGGTACAGAGGGCCCGGCCTGCATTTTCTGAAGTGTTTCACGTGGCACGCTTCCCTCTGCCAGGCAGAAACAACCAGGGTGTCATGAGCACAGCCATGAGCACAGGACAGGTGCTAGCCCTCGTCCGCCGAGGCCAGGGCTGAGCCCTTTCAGGAATAACGGACACTCACTTTGGATCCTTGACGAGGAGTCTTCTTATGAAGTCCTTGGCTAGGGCACTGGTATTACTGAAGTATTCTTCCTCAAATTCATAGTTGACGGCAGATACGTTTGCTAAGGTTTCTTGCTTAGTGTCTCCAAGGAATGGGGAGGCCCCACTTAGGCTGTTCATAAAGTGGAGCACAGAACACAAATAATTACTTCTCGTGTTGTCATTTTATTCCTCTAACATCTGACAAGGGGAGTGAGGATAAGACGATAATCTGGTGCCTGGGCAATGACTTCAGAATTCAATTACACTTTATAGGGCATGTAATTGTCATGAACAAAAGCTTCAGCTTAATGCAAAGGATGCATTTAAGAAGTTAATTTGGAACGGCATCTAGCAGTTAAAAAAATCCTCTCCCCTTCCCTCAGCAGGGATGGACAGCCACGGTTTCTTTCAGTGACTATGCGGCAGTTTCTGATGACTCATTTCAAATTAGGAGAAAACGTTTAATAGTATAAACTAAATGTGTTCTGGGGGTGGAAAATGAATATGTTTACATTAAAAAGCATAGATAAGCTGAAGAGATCAACGTGATACACAGAATGGTTAATACAACATACGGTCTCACAGACAGAGGGAAAGAACGTGCGTTTGGATTCTGGTACTTACAGAATATAGGTTATTACCCCAATACTCCTAAACACAAAACAAAAACGAAATAAAAAACAAAGGTCAGAAGAACAGTAAAATAAAACAATAAATCAGAAAGATGACTACATCGGGGGGGTGCTCCTTACCACATATCTGCCTCGAGACCGAGAGGTTCATAGTTGACTATCTCAGGAGCTGAGAGGAAATGAACGCACAGTTAGTTTCAGAAGGAAGCGAACTGATAGATTCTATCTTCTTGTATAAACCAGAAACATGTACCAGGGAAATGATGCCACAGCCGGGGAATTTTGCCAGCATCATGTTTATGAGAAATAAGTAAACACATGAGTAAAGAAACTTACCAACAAACTCTGGGGTTCCAAATATGTTTTTGAATTCATTTCCAAAGTCAATTTTATGGGCCAACCCAAAGTCGATGATCTTGATCCGAGGTTTAGGGACATTTCTATCCAAAAGCATTATGTTTTCAGGCTTTAAAAAAGAGAAACAGTACAGCAATGCTCATAGCAGCCTTATTCAAAATAAGCAAAGGTGGAAACAACCTAATGTACATCAGCGGATGAATGGATCAACAAAATGTGGTGTACACCTAGAATGAAACATTACTCAGCCTTAGAAAGGAAGTAAATTCTGACACGTGCTACAACATGGTGAACCCTCAAGACACGATGCTAACTGAAATAAGCCAGACAAACAAGGACAGATACTGTATGATTGCACTTGTATGAAGTACCTAGAACAGGCAAATTCATAGACACAGGAAGCAGAATGCGGTAGCCAGGGACTGGGGGGCGGGGATGGGGAGTCAGCGGTTAAGAGGTACAGAGTTTCAGTTTGGGAAGATCACTAAGTTCTAGAAATGGATGGTGGTGACAGTTGCACAACAATGTGAATGTACTTAATGCCACCGAACTGTATACTTAAAAAGGGTTAAAATGGTAACTTTTACTTTATGTTTATTTTGCCACAATAATAATCTTAAAAAGCTATCATATGTTACGCTAAAGACAAGGTGGCAGAATAGTTTTCCCTCTTCCCTGAAAAAACAACCAAAAAATAGGGATAACAGGGTAGTTGAAAGAGAACACCAGGAAAAATAAATGTCCTGGTTTAGGTTCTCCCAGAAGCAGACCTGAGATAGCAACTTGGGTACAAGCGGCTTATGTGGGAGGCGCTCCAGGGAATGCGTGCTGGAGAAACGGGGAAACGGAAATAAGGAAGCCCATACAAGGTGTCTTATCAAGGCGGGGGTGACTCAGAGTTTCCCACCAGAGCGCAAGGGAGCTGGGATGTTTACCCACCATCTCCCTGTCCCCTGTGGCTCAGAGCTGCTTCTGTGGCATTCGCCCTTTGGCGTTTCCAGCTCCCAGAGCCAGAAACCAGGTGCAGGCAGAGAGCCACGGCGTTCGCAGCAGCAATCCTTATGGTGAGTTAGTGAGTGCTGGGGGATCTGGATGGGGTCTGGACAGCTCTGCTACAACAAGGAAGGAGAAATTCCTCCCTCCTCTGACGTCTTGTCCCAGCTCCAGTGATCAAAATCACTCACCTGGCTGCTTTGGGACACTGTCCTCACTACCGTGGATGGAGCTTGAGTCTTACACTGTCACTTCCTGTTGCTCATGTACATGTCTTCCCTTCCCAAAGAGACCACAACCTCTGTGACGGCTGGGAGTATGACATGCCATTTTAGCTCCCATAATGCCTTGCTTCTAGCTCGGCAAAGACTCCAATTAGCCAGTCTCAGAGTTTGGCAATTGCCAATGACAGTCCCGCTCGCATCAAGAGGAAACTAGAGATCAAGGCATCTTCCATCTTATGTGCCCGCAGCCACAGAGGGAGGGAAACTGCATAACCGGTGGCCACTCCAGGCTGAAAATACCCCATAACCAACAGCAGCCCCCTTGTTTAAGGACCTGACTGAGAAAGCTCCTTAATTCTTGCCCAAGGATTCTAGAATATAATCATTGATCTCAGCCTCCATCCCACAAAAAGGTTAGGAGTTCCTGCAGTATGCATGATATACTTGCTGATTTATATTGATAACTGTTTGTTAAGCCCATAGAAGAAAAAAGTATCTCTTTCAGACGCCTCAAGTCTTCTTAGCAAACAAACAATCAGGGCCGTGTTGGCATAAGCCTCTCTCTGGCTCATGCTCAGTGACATACCTTCAGATCAAAGTGGGCAATCTGGAGGGAGTGCAGGTAGTAAACACCGTTAAGAATTTGCTTGAGAAATTCGGTTGCTTCCTCTTCAGTCAAAGATTCCTTTTCAGCCAAGAAGTCAAACAGCTCACCGCCTGCAACGCTGCAACCAGGAAGCAGAGGTGATTGATGCAGCCGGCCTTCCGTCAACCTGTCTCGCACAGACTGTTGGTGCGCTCAGATCTCAGGCAAGAAATCAGCATGAGCACATGCTGAGACTGCCAAGCCAGGAGTCAGAATCTCGCCTCTCATCACTGGATGAGAATTCGGCCTTCAGGTACATTTGTACATTTGTCCTTGGGTACCATTTTCCTAATGTGCTAATGTTCACAAATGAGGGGAGGGAGCAGAGATGTGATGGGGGGAAAAATATCAATGGATCTTTAAAACATCTTAATCAAACAACTTTAAAGCCGAAGACAATTCACCGATTTAAAAAGGACCTACAAGCTAACTTTGTACAGAATTTATAGAATACATCTTCCTAGCCCAATCAGAGAGCACCTGGGAAGTTCATAATCTGTGAGTTAATCATTTTGAAACTCAAAATCACAACAGAGCCTGACAAAAATTTTTCCTTTTTTGTTTTGTATTTGTTTATATGTAAATACATACATATTTATAAAAATCACATTTAGTAATGAATTTAACAAATACCTTAACTCATAAGAATAAACTTATCACAATGCACAAACTCACAATGCACGTGGTTGTCTGGGTTACTGTGTCTGTCTCTCTGACCAGACTGGAAGCCCCTGGAGGACAGAGGTCAGCCCTGGCTGTGGCCCGCAGCTGCCCCCACCTTCTTGCACCGTGCCAGCCACATAGCAAGAGCTCAAAACATCTTTATCAAGTGGTTAAATGAACAAACTCCCCTAAAAAATTCACGGTAGTGATAAATGGCAAATAACAGGGAACTTTTAATAAGAGTTTTTATAAGTTAATCTTGATCAAGTTTAACTGTACATTCACAACATAATAATCTGCAATTACCCATGTAACTGCTGTGTGCGTTATCTTTCTTTCCACAGACGGCTCCATAAACATACCTACCATGTCTACATCCAGAAGAAGATAGCTACTGCTGGTGACATTAAACTCAAACGACAAAAAAGGCGTTTTCTTAAGGAAAAGCTTCAGGTCCGGTCCCTTCACCCTCTAAGTCCGTGTTTTTCTAAGCCCGGCCCAGGGTCCACTGGCATCAGAACTGCTTGGTGTGTTTTAAAAACACAGATTCTGGGCCTGACTTCCAAACTGCTGCCTGGGAGTTTCAAAGGGTGGGGGGCCAGGAGACAGCCTTCTAACAAGCACCCCAGCTGATTCTCAGCACACCATAGACTGAGGCCAGTTTTCAAAGTCTTGATTACATGGTCCTCCCTCTGATACATAACTTTGGGATATTTATCCAGAGGGCGAGGTGACTCCACCCCTGGGACCCCAGTAGATAGCCGGCAGATCTGCCACGTGCCACATGGTGAGAAGCCCCCGTGGGTGGCAGAGGCCTGCAGCTGGCACCAACACTGCCAGGCAGTGGCCTTCCTGCCTGCCCCCTCCCAGCCTCGCTGCCCTCTCCTCTCCAAGCGCCCTCGGCCACGCATCTCGAACCGGCTCCCACTCAATGCCACGAGCCCTCCGCTTCTCACTTTTCTGTCTTCTTATCCCTCTTAAAACCAACAAAATGGGAAGAGGGAATCTTTCAACTATAGGGAACAAAAAGGAAGAAAAAATGGGAAACTGTGAACCGACCAATGCTGAGAAAGATGCGCTATCATCTGCTTCTGTGCTCTCTGGCGTTGGTGGCATTGCTTAAGTGACTGCAGCATCTTGGGCACACAGTGCAGGGATGGTCCAGAGTGCGTGCATCCGGCTCGTCTTAATTCTGCAGCTGGAAGGTTATTCCTTCCCCCTGAGCCTCATTTCCTCATCAAACAGGAATAATAGGACCTATTCCTTTGAGGGTTTTAAGGATTAAAGAAAATAAATATATGTGAAGCAGCTGGCAGGTTTCTGGCTTGGGGCTGAGGGCCTGTCAGTGGCACTGTGCCATCATAAAGGAAGGAACCACCATTCCTGTAGAATGCCAACGCTCTCCCTCCCCGCCCCGGGCAGCCCACAGGATGGGAGCCCCTCCCTGCCCTGCCTCTCCCCTCTCCCCCTCACATCCACTGGTCTGGCCTAACCATGGCACGCCCAAGATGAGGGGGCTCCTGGCCCCAGCCTTTCCTCGCTCTGGCTCCCTTCAGGGTCTTCCCCACTCCTCATCGCTCGCACAGACTGCTTGTGCTTTTACTTATTTGTTTATATTTTGCTGAGGAAGATTCGCCCTGAGCTAACATCTGTGTCTGTCTTCCTCTGTTTTGTATGTGGGTCACTGCCACAACATGGCCTCCAACAAGGGGTAGAGGTCCGCAGCCAGGAACTGAACCTGGGCTGCCAAAGGGCCGTGCGTGAAATTTAACCACGAGGCCACGGGCTGGCCCCAGAATGCTTGTTCTTTTAAATACATCAATACGTCTCCTGACAATGAGAAATGCCTGGGGTTTCGCTGCCTGCATCTCATAGCACCCAAACAGCTCAGTGGGGCGTGGAGATCCAGTCCTTCCTAGGAACCCGGCCACTGCCCCAGGCCAGGCCTTTGCTCCTCTTCTTTGGCTGGCTTTCCCTCCCTCACATGTCCCCTGAGCTTCCTCCAGTCAGTGAAGAGCAGCCTACTTCATCCTCCTGAGGGCTCTAGGCTCTGTGAGGCAGAAGGGCAGAGGGCAAGGAGACCCAGTCGAAATCCTGCCCAGTTACCGAACCTCACCGCACCTGGGATTCCTCTCTGTAAGAGAAGGGACAATCGCACCCTGTAAAGTTGTTCTGAGGTTCCAGGACGTGTAGAGCCTGTCAGGGCTCAAGAAATGCTGCTTTCTTCCCATCCGGCTTCAAACCAAGGGTCCTCCCAGAGCAGCAGTGGTGTGCTGGACTGTAGTTAACAACCGGCTCTCTGGGGTTGGGTGGGGCAAGCTCATTCCCAAGGGGTCATATTCCCACCATGGTCATTTCAAGCTACTCACGTGACGGCAGTGACTGTGGAGTTGGGAGAGGATGTGCCCTGGGGGAGCCAGCTACCTGGCCCACTGAGGCATTATGTATTTTCCAAAGATAATGTAAAAGCATGTCACCCCATGTGTTCGTCTGTGCTGTGATCCAGCATCTGTGGCTTCACCTCCTTGAATCTGGGGGGGGCCCTGTGACCACTTTGGCCAATAAAACATGGCAGAAGGGACACTGTGGTATGGTTCTTCACTGGCCCAGGGCTTCCACATCCTGCCTTTTTCAGCCCTCACGTAAGAAGTAAAGCGATCCCAGAGGGCGGGACCAAGATGGCAGAGTGAGAGGTCTTCTTTGTCTCTCCCCCGTCGAATCTACAACTAATTGGACATTCACCGATTAACAAAGGCTATCCAGATAGCATCTCAAGATGCCTAAAAGTCTCGTGCTACTACACATCGGAAGGCGGACGGACTTCCCCCCGGGAAGAGGTGGAAATAGGTGAAAACTCTCCGACCCCCGACCCCTGGACAGCCTAGTTCCTGCAGGAGGCTCTCTTCCAGCGGACTCCCCCATAGCATCGCCACACACCAAGGGCAGGAGTGTGCACTCACCAGCGGAGCGACAGTGGAAACAGGTGACAACACCCCTACCCAAGCCCCCCGCGATCACTCCTAAGCCCAGGGGGAGATCCCCAGGGTCCCGCACCCACCAGCAGGGAAGGCCTCCCCTCGCCATTAGCAGGGAGGCCCTGCCCAGAAGCCAGAACAAAGAGAAGCTCCTGGCGGGCCTGGCATGGCACCAGACCGCAAGCTGCCACTGAGCTCACGGTCTCCGGCGCACGGCTCAGTGCAGGGGGCACTTGGACTTCCCGTAGACGTGCTTGGGGACACGGTTGGAGCTCCAGCGCCTGGCTCTGCGGCGCGGGGGAAGGCTCCAGGGTCCCGCATCTTCCCGGCAGGGAAAGCCTCTGCTCACCATTAGCAGGGAGGCCATGCCCAGAATCCAGGACAAACGGAAGCTCCCAGTGGGAGGATCCCCTGGGGTGGCTCCAGGCCGCAAGCTGCTGCTGGGCTCATGGTCTCCTGCACACGGGTCGGTGCAGGGGGTGCCCGGACTTCCCGTGGATGCGCTTGGGGCCTGGGTGGAGCTCCAACACCCGGCTCTGTGGCCCGGGGGGTCGCTCCAGGGTCCCGCACTCCCCCAGCAGGGAGGGCCTCTGCTCGCCATTGGCCCCGCCCAGCATTCAGAACACCAGGAAGCTCCCTAGAGCAGAATTCCCCACAAGGCAGCAGCTTACAAGCCACTGCCAGGCCCAAGGACTATGGCCGTGTCCCAGACGAGGCAAGGGGCTCCCACAGATCCCGTGAGAGTGAAGTGGGGCAGAGTAGAGCTCCGGTGAAACAGCTACGTAGCCCAGGGGGGATCTCCAGGTTCTTACAGCAGCCTCAGCGAAAGCCTCTGCACAGCACTAGTGGAGAGGGCCCAACTGGCAATCGCAAGGCGGGAAGGCCCTGGGGCAAAAGCAGCACAGCTAGGTGAGCTAACGACAGACTGCAGAAGATACCCATAGCTCTGCTGGGACCTATAGTGGACAAGTGTGATCTGGTGGGCTCTGTTAGAGACAAATCGGAGATTATAGGTGATCCTGCTCCTGGCTGACGGGAAAGCCCACAACACCGCTGCAGACCACAAGGAGGGAACGCATCTAGGTGGGCTGCAGCAGTAGGCACCAGCAGCCTGAGGCCCCCTTGCGATTGCCCCCACAACCGATGAGGGACCCCACAGGACCACTGTGACTACGAGGAGGGGTCCAGGCCCAGTCAGTAACAGCTGATAGGGTTCCTGGTTGGTGCAGTCTAAACAGCTTCCCCCCCACCCCACACACACCAGACGCAACAAGTGGAAGCAGTGACTAAACTCTATCTCTATGAGGAGGCACAAATCCATGCCATCAAGCAGTATGAAAAAATATATTAAATCTCCAGAACAGAAGGAAAATGATAAGTACCCAGAAAACAATCCCAAAGACAATGAAATCTATAACCTAAATGACGATGATTTCAAAAC